CGTAGTGCACTAGGATAGTTTATTTCCTTGGCAGCATATGTTAAGGACAACAAGGATCTGAAAGACGAGGTTCAAGCAATGGGGTTGCCAAGATTGCTAGAGTTGAGACTTCATAGACTCCCTCAAGACATTTGTGCTGCTATGATGCGTTCATATGATCCACCAACGTAGCAATTTCTCATTAGGGGAATGTCTAGAAAACTAGAAGCAATAGATGTGCAAATGCTCCTAGGTATACCCCATGTTGGGAAAAGAGAGGTGACATCTGAAGTTAGTGAGCACGACCCTGCATTTATAAGCCTTAGGCTTAATTATTTCCAGAAGTCTTATATGGATATTTTGAAGGTGATAACATCTAGACAAAAGAAGGGTGATGAATTTAAAATGTTGTTTATGCTTCACACACTCGAAACTCTGTTATGCCCCACTTCTAGTGGAAGAGTAAGTGAGCGATTGATAAAGGTGGTGGCTGCAACAAAGGATACATTTGTGGAATATGATTGGGCTATGTTTATGGTGCAAGAGCTGTCGAAGGAGATGGAAGATTATTTGAGGGTTGAGGAAGCAGGATGGCAGCTGCAATATTGGTGGATGCATATACTTGTTACTGGTATGCATTTTTTTTATTAGTTATTGTTTTGCCACTGTAACAGTTTTAATGTCATTTAATTGGTGATACAGCTATACTTGCTTGAGTATTTTCCTATAACTGAAAGTACAAAGCATGACCACACTGAGGCCATATCATTCTGGACAGATAAGAGGGTCAACGAAATGAGTAATAAAGAAAGAAAGAGCCGCATTGGACTTCTCTATTCAGAAGGGCGTGCTGGAGTGCCTGATAATAAGGGAGGAAGTGAATCTGTACCTTATCTAGACCCGGTAAAGGCAACCTTGTTAAATAGTCATTTTGTTTATATTATTTAGTAATATGTCATGTTTACAAACTTCTATAACCTTCTCAAATATTTTTGAAATGACAATACATACTGAAAATTTTTTTGGTTTCCTATAGGAGTTGAAGGATTTGCATGAGAGGTTGGTGGGGATGATTAGAGAAAATAGCAACAAACTTGTGGCTATTGTTGACAATGAGCTGATGAAGGTGCAATTGGGAAGGGAGTACAGGCCAAAATCTGACAATAAAAGGCATGTATGGCCCCATGAGGAAGAACAACTTGAAGGTGAAGCTGATGAAGAAGATGATGGCGAGAAGGACAAGGATGGTGAGAAGGACAAGGATGGTGATGGAGAAAATGAAGATTCTGAGCATGATATTGAGGAGGAAGAAGGTGAAGAGGAAGATATTGAACAACTATCATTGCAATTATCTCCTATCACCATCATTCACCCAGATGCTGAAGGAGGAGCATCAGATGAAGAGGAACTATTGGACAAGGTAGAACAAGTAAGAAGATCAAAAAGGCCGATGAAGCCCGCCCCAAAACTACAGTCTCCCTAGGTTGTGCCTAAGGTTGTGAAGAGAACAAACCGGAAGATGGATGATAAGGAAAAAAATTTCATCACTGTCTCCAAAATGTGCAGTTCAGCTGATGTGGACAAGTAAGCCTTTTATTGCTATTAAATAAATGTGAATGAAATTTTTTTTGGCCTGTCTAAGCAAAATGAGTACTTGATCTGCAGGAGGTTGGTTGAGTTGTATGACTTCCATGTAACTCGTGATGATCTAAGGTCATTAGGTGGAATGCATAGAGTTAGTAACCATGTAGTGAAATCTCCACCTGATTAGCTATTGTTTATAACAGATGCTGTGCAAGCTGAAACTTAAAAATTTTCTCATGTGTGAAACATGTCATGTCAATGGTGTGCCACATGCTGATGAGAGAAATAAAAGAGGGGGGTGGACAAGTTAAACGACACATATTTGATGCTTACTATATGGTAAGGTTGTTGTAACATTACTTAATTTCAGCGATAGTTTATGTCAATATGCTTATAGTGTCATATTTTGCAGTCCAAACTTTGTAGTCCAGGGTGAAGTGTTGTAGTGAGCAAGAAGGAACTATAGGAGGAAGATGTTGGTTACAACATTGCGGATTGTGACTTGATTTTGGGACCAGCACTTGTAGACCAACACTGGTTCTGCTTTGTGCTAGAGCCGAAGGTCATGAACTTCTACGTGCTGGATTCACTGAACGTATATGTTAGCGGGCAGCCAAAGAAAAAGAACAAGCAGAAGGGAATAATTGTTGACGATATGGAAAAGTTCCACAACATTTGTGTATGTACCAATTATTGTTTATAATTAATCTGCAAAATTTTTATTTCATTGATTGCTATTGTTTTATCCAGCTGGACCGGTTTCACGATATTATAGAATTGGTTCAGCCAAAGTTGATGGGGAAGAAGCCAAAGCGTGATATAATTTATCCTGATGTTGCAAAACAAAACAACATGTGAGTGTGATTAACTTTTTTGTTCTTTAAATTGATTGGTTGGCTGGATGTTGTTGAGCAAAATTGTTAACACGTTATGACATGCTGTGTGCAGCAAGGACTGTGGAGTCTATGTTATGTTATGGTTAAAATCGTGGCATCTACAGGCAGCGCTTAATTATACTCCTGTACGTTTTATGTAATTAATGATTGTTTGTTGTGATTGATTATTGCCCTATGTGACGAGGAATTTAATGTCTGTGCAGGATCAAGTGGCTCAATTTAGGCGTGATCTAATGTGGTGGATGGTTAATCATCCTAACAATGCATGTCGTGATGCTGCCTTAATGCTATTGGAGGAACAAGAAGATATTAGAAAAAGCAAACAACACCGATCAACTCAATAGGAGTGTCAAGAATTAGTATTTACATGTGTATAGGACAAGTTGGAAAGGTTTCTTCAATAGTAACCATGTAATTTCATAGGGGATGATGTTGTACCGATAATGTACATGTTCAAATTCTGGGTGATTATCAAGTTACGACTTGTTATTAAGTTGAGTACCTAGATCTATTTACAGGATGACTATAACATTTTAATCGTTACCTATATTCGTTTAAGCAAATAACTAGTCACTGATTCGTAGTTAGTGGTGCGCAATGAATAATCATATTCATTCACTAGTTTGATTTGAGGAATCACTAGAAGTGTTTAATCATTAGCTACATCGGTGTAGAAAATAACTACATACTACATCAACGTATGCAGGAATGCCCCATGAGGAGTTTCATTGCGATTCAGTAAAAGTGATGAGGTTATTAACCACAGCTAATCAACAATTCACTAGAAGTGTTTAGGCATTACCTACATCGGTGTAGAAAATAATTACTTACTATATCAACGTACGCAGGAATGCCCCATGAGGAGTTTCATTGTGATTCAGTAAAAGTGATGAGGTTATTAACCATAGCTAGTCAACAATTCACTAGAAGTGTTTAGGCATTACCTACATCGGTGTAGCAAATAACTACTTATTATATCAACGTACGCAGAAATGGCCCATGAGGAGTTTCATTGTGATTCAGTAAAAGTGATGAGGTTATTAACCACAGCTAATCAACAATTCACTAGAAGTGTTTAGGCATTACCTACATCGGTGTAGAAAATAACTACTTACTATATCAACGTACGCAGAAATGGCCCATGAGGAGTTTCATTGTGATTCAATAAAAGTGATGAGGTTATTAACCACAGCTAATCAACAATTCACTAGAAGTGTTTAGGCATTACCTACATCGGTATAGAAAATAACTACTTACTATATCAACGTACGCAGAAATGGCCCATGAGGAGTTTCATTGTGATTCAGTAAAAGTGATGAGGTTATTAACCACAGCTAATCAACAATTCACTAGAAGTGTTTAGGCATTACCTACATCGGTGTAGAAAATAACTACTTACTATATCAACGTACGCAGGAATGCCCCATGAGAAGTTTCATTATGATTCAGTAAAAGTGATGAGGTTATTAACCACAGCTAGTCAACAATTCACTAGAAGTGTTTAGGCATTACCTATATCGGTGTAGCAAATAACTATCAACATTACTATATCCAACGGAGTTACTTTACTATATAACGTACGCAGAAATGGCCCATGAGGAGTTTCATTGTGATTCAGTAAAAGTGATGAGGTTATTAACCACAGCTAATCAGCAATTCACTAGAAGTGTTTAGGCATTACCTACATCGGTGTAGAAAATAACTACTTACTATATAACGTACGCAGAAATGGCCCATGAGAAGTTTCATTGAGAGTCAGTACAAGTGATGAGGTTATTAACAACAACTAATCACCAGTTCACTAGGAGTGTTTAAGCATTACCTACATCGGTGTAGAAAATAACTACTTACTATATCAACGTACGCAGAAATGGCCCATGAGAAGTTTCATTGAGAGTCAGTACAAGTGATGAGGTTATTAACAACAACTAATCACCAGTTCACTAGGAGTGTTTAAGCATTACCTACATCGGTGTAGAAAATAACTACTTACTATATCAACGTACGCAGAAATGGCCCATGAGAAGTTTCATTGAGAGTCAGTACAAGTTATGAGGTTATTAACCATAGCTAATCAACAATTCACTAGAAGTGTTTAAGCATTACCTACATGCACGTCTGTCATGCACCAATAACTACTCACAGTAGCATAATTGCAGATAGGAAAAATAACATGATAGCAAATGCATCACAACTACAACAATAGAATAGAGAATAACAACATCACTTTAGTCATTAACCAACAATCATCAAATACATCACAATAACTGATTTACATATGTTTCATGACAAGTGGACATTAAGATGATGCTTCCACTTAATGTTTCATTGTCAAGGACATCATCCACCCAACCGTCCACAGTATTTACAATGATATAAAATAACAGTTAAGGCATTGACCAACAAAAAACATACCCAACAACATAATGCCAACATGGCCATTAACCAAAAACCAACATGGCCAATACATTAAACTATTTACATTTTTTCAATCAAAAAAATGGCCCTACAGTGCTAACATCACATGGTGTACATCCCAAATCAACTTGGATTTGGGTTTTTGCACGTCCTTCTTGTATGTCCAACTTGATGACATTGAGTATAGCGGTATATCTTTTTGTCTTGGTATTGTGACTCATGCCTTGTAATCTTAGGCCTTCCAGGAGCCTGACTTGTGATTGGGGGTTGCAGCAAAATTTGATTAGATATATTCTCCATCCTATAGTCATTTATATTTGGCATGTCAATTGTGACCACCGGAGTCATGCACCTGCCATAAATCTTCTGTTGACATGAAAATTTGTACCATCCCTCAATATAATCATAAATATCACCATGGACAGTTTTCACCGCTGCACAAGCATGCCTACATGGAATCCCTGTCATCTGCCACTCTGCACAACTACAATGGTGCAAGCTAAGACTTACTCGGTGGTGTCCACGTGAGGTTTGGATATTGACATTTCCCATACCATAATCTGTTGTAATGAACTGCTTACTAACCTCCACATTTTCCTTTAGTTTGGTCTCTATCTTTGGCCCCATACAACTCTTCTATTTTGTCATTGCCACACTTGATGCTTGCATCTTTTTCGCAACTTTCTCACGATGCTCATGAATCATTTGGGCTACATTGTGCTTTCTTTCCTTGACCATCCAAGCATTGAATGATTCAACAATATTGGTGGTTATATTATCCCATCGTTTATATGGGAACTTGCTCACAGCCCACTTATCTACATCCCCATGATTGTTAAGCTAGTCAAATAACTCTGGAGAGAACTCCCTCATTTCTGCCATTGCCTTGTCAAATTCATCGTGAACCCTAGCCCATGGAATTTTATTGAGAAGCATTAATGCATCCTCTTTGGAGCGTGTTCTGCTCCTTTTACCTTTGTTCAATTTGAGCCACTCTGCACTAAAGTTCTCCTTAACGTGCCTATAATAATACGCATGCCTGTCAGAACCGAACATTGATTGTACAGCTCCTATTATGGCATTATGACAGTTTGACACAATAGTTAATGGCTTTGAGCCAACTATCTTTTTAATCATAGACATAAACCAAGTCCAGTCATCAATTGTCTCTCCCTTTACAATAGCCATTGCAAAAGGCAACAGCTCATTATTTGCATCATATGCCGAACCTGCGAGGAGTGTTCCCTTATATGGTCCAGATAAATGAGTTCCGTCAACATACAGAACGGGTCTAGCACAGCCAAGAAACCCTCTATACAACACCCGTATGCGATGAACACACGCTCAAATCTGTAGTTAGGACCAGCTACCCATTTAGCTATGTTTTCCCATCGTTTCCTTCCTTTAGCCTGGCATATCCATGGTATTAACATATATGAATGTTCAGGTCTACCATGTATGTCTTCTATTGCCTTCTCCTTCGCCCTATATGCCTGTTTATATGTAACATTCAGACTATATTCTGTTTGCAATTTTGTCCTTATTTCACTTGCCTGCTTGTCAGCATGGTTCCTCACCTCATCGATAATTATATAAGATGTCATATTAGATCTTGCACACTGTCTAACTTGCAAATTATCTTGGGCACTATAGACATGCTCATTAATGAATGTGGTGACACAAAGATATGGAACATTCTTCCCCAATGCACTTACACATATTTTCCATGGACAACCTTCCACTTTGCAAATGACAGACATTCTCTCTTTGCTGTTCCTCAAAAATTTAAGCTTAAAGTTATGTGCGATGCTAAACTTGTACAAATACTCCCTAAATAAACCAGCATGTGCAATTTTCTGCCCCACGCCTGTAAAAAGTTCCAACCATTTACTATAGTTCATCTGAGTAATTTGTGTCACTGCATTCCCTCCACTGGAGCTTGGGCCTTCATGCTGGCCATCATTGCCTACATGTGAACCACTTGGGACTTGATAAGGAATGCATTCAGCAGTACTTTCATGACTCACGTGCTCATAATCGATTCCCAAACTGATATAAGATACAGCCATTTCCTGGCATGACAATCCCAACCATCTTTCAATTTTGGATCTGCATACATGATAACTACAATTGTTAGCATATTGACAACATCTGTTCCTACATTCACTACATTAGCACAGTAAATAGCAACTTACACCAGCAAAGATTTTTTTACTTACATTTGTGCATCGGTCATCTCATGTGGTTCTGTCTCAATTCTGCATGCACGATCACTACATTTGTTAGCATTTAACAATATCTGTCCCTATTAACTACATTAGCACAGCAAATATCAACTTCCACCAGGAAATATTTTTTTACTTACCTCTGTGCATCATTCATCTTAGGTGGTTCTGTCTCAATTCTGCATGCACGATAACTACATTGTTAGCATATTAACAACATCTGTTCTTACACTAACTACATTAGCACAAAAAGCAATGTTACCAGGAAAAAAAATTTTACTTACATTTGTGCATTAGTCATCTCTGTTCTATCTTAATTCTGCATGCACGATCACTACATTTGTTAGCATATTAACAACATTGTTCCTACATTCACTACATTAGCACAGCAAATAGCAACTTACACCGGCAAAATTTTTTTTACTTACATTTGTGCATCAGTCATCTCATGTGGTTCTGTCTCAATTCTGCATGCACGATAACTACAATTGTTAGCATATTAACAATATCTGTTCCCACATTAACTACATTAGCACAACAAATAACAACTTCAACCAGAAGAAATTTATAACTTACATTTCTTGATCATTGATTTTATGTCTTTCAGTCTCATTGCCTTTCAATGATACATACACATGCATAATGATGTCATTATGCACAAAAATATTTCTAACTCCACCATCATCAACAAGATCAATTAATGTCCTCTAATCATACTTGACAGTATACTTCATGTCCCAACTGCTACCATCATAACCACTGCATTTTGATATAGTTGCCCTTAAATCTTCAAGTGTTATACCATCTTTTACGTTTCTTTTCTGTATGTACTCTACCTCCATGATATCTAACTTGACCTTCAGGACTAATAACAAATTCTCCATCTACATGAAAGTAACAAAATAATTCCTTCCTAGGAGTGGAGCCAATATTACAATTCATTGTGCAAGCTAAGCTGAAACAAATGAATAATCCTTATGTTAGTTCACCGATAATGATATTTTGTCACTTCTTTAAATAAAGATAAATAATAGTACCTCTTCACCCATTAACAACTTTAGTTTAGGGTTTCACACTTTAACATTAGCTATTAACTATAATATCCACCTTATCATAACTGTCATGCCTCAAACTTCAATGTCATGTAATCAGCTTCGACTTTCTCCCAAAAACAATCCTCCATTCCCCAACACTAATCATTGTAAACCCTACCAAAAAGCAACAAACCCTATGGATAAATGCTTCAACTCAGGCAAATAAAAATACGAACTTCACTGTCACCAACGAAACGCTGCAAGTATGCATGCTTCAACCTTCGTACGTAACCCATTTTACTGTATCAGCTTCGTCGGAAAAAACGTTGATAGACCCATATTGATAAATGATCATGGTAGGGGATGAAAAGAGGAAGATTGTGGTGCACAAAATTATTTCACTTACTTTTTTTCAACCTCATTCAGATTTCAAGACCAAGAACGTGTATCCAACCATACCCACAATCACAATACTTCAAAATGAAGAACAAAACCACCGTGATTAGACCCCAGGATGAATAGACGAAAACTGTGGTGTGAGAAATTACTAACCTTGCTTGCTTCAACCACCTTCCAAGGTCCCACCATCGAACGTTCTCCACCTTTCTTCAGTATAATTCTACAGAGCCATAAGTGTCATCGACATTTCCTTGCTTCATCATAATTCTTTTTGCTTTTACATCTGAGAAGGGCAAATTTGTCCATTTGCCTTTATTTTGCAAATGACAGATTGGGTCATTGACCTAATCTGTCATTTCCACAATTTCAGGACCCAATCTGAAATTGTATATATTGAAGTGGCTTTATCTGTCATTTTCCCCATTTTTTTCATTAAATTTTTTTTTAAAAAAATTCCCCTAACGGCCGGGTCCGCTCCCGACGTATGGTACAATTTTAACATTGATCAGTGACACGTGTCTTACAAGTTAGATGGAAAAATCCTCTTCGAGTTAATCATCAAATATCCTACTCTCTCGTCATTGTCTCTCAACCTCCGACCCTGTATAGTGTATTCCTCATCCTCTCCGGTACGGCGAAGCCATAACACAACCCGTGTGATTACGCTGTATGGCTTTGCCATCTGAATCGCATCGTAATCACAACAAAGACATATCCAACTTCTTTCAATCCACTGCTTCGAGCTTCGTTTCTCTCTTCAACCCCCCAAAATTCTCTCCTCCGCCGCCGCAACCAACTTCTTCCTCAATCTCTCCCTCCAGAATCTGCTTTCCTCTTCTATTCGCCGACTCCTCTAAACCTCCTGTCGATTCCACTAACCATGACTCGCTCTCCTCCTCCAATTCCACAATCAAGGGTGTGTCGTCAGCGGCTGAGTCCAACTCGGGATTTCCGTCGACGGTCAGGGTTTCAGGGTTGAACTCCAGTCAAAAGGGTGGTGGACCCGCCTTCGTGGGTCAGGTATTCAGCATGTGTGATCTTTCTGGTACTGGTCTTATGGCTGTGTCTACCCACTTTGACATCCCCTTCATCTCAAAGAGGTTCGTGTTCATTTGTATTTAACTATGGGATAACATTTTTGTTGGTTATGGTCGTTGTTGATGATGGTTTTGAGATTATGGGTGCCAATTGCCAGTTTTTTGTGTTTGAAGTAGTGTGTATGTGAGGATTTAGACCGTGACGAAAAATTAGCGTAGGTTGGCAAGATTTATGTGGTGAAACCATCTCCAAACCAGTTCAGGAAGAAAGCCATTTTGGTGTGTTACGTCAACTGGGGGAAAATTGTGTCAGGCGGGGTAAAATGATTTGTCTTTGTGTCTTATCCCAAGTAAAAGATTAAGAAAAAAATTTGTCATCAATGATTAGACAGCATTGATCATTCATAAGACTTGACTGTGATGATTAGAAGACTACATTTTTTTGGCATTCTTCTTCTGGGAACAGCTTTTTAATTGTTAACTTTTGTTTGCAGAACACCTGAGTGGCTGAAAAAAATGTTCGCCACAATCGTGAAGAGTGAAAGAAATGGCCCCATATTTCGTTTTTTTATTGATCTAGGAGATGCAGGTTAGCTCTTTGGCACTTTGAGTATAGTTCCTTTTGAAAATCCTTTGGCTATCTTGAGCAAACTTTTGGTGGTGATGATATCTAAACACAATCATCTTATCTCTTTCGTTGAACAACAGCAACGCTATATTTATGTCCTCCTCCTCCTCCTATTGTATGTAATTTCTATGTGGTAACAGCTCATGTATTTCACTGAGAATAGAGTGTTACATATATAGGGAAAAGAAAGAATAAAATCAGATTTGATTCTACTCCTAGAATCTCGGATAATAAATACATATTACAAGAGAAAATAAGTCCCATGATTTTAGGGATCCTAATCTCACACACAAAAGGAAAACTAGGTTGCATGATAATAGGCCCATGAAATTGATAGAAAGCCCAAATTTCTTCCAACACTCACCCTCACGCTGGTGAATAGATATTGATCATTCCTAGCTTGTCTACAAAGCCTTCAAATTTCTCTTGAGTGAGAGACTTAGTTGTCATGTTAGCTGTCTGTTGTCCTAAAGGAATATAGGATAAATCAGTCACCTTTGATTCCAGTTTCTCTTTGATAAAGTGACGATCAATCTTCACATGTTTGGTGCGGTCATGATGGATAGGATTATTTGCTATCTTAATAGCTGACATGTTGTCACACCATACTTTGATTGGTTCATTATCATAGATTCTGAGCTCCTTTAATAACCTAACCAGCCACATTCCCTCGCAAATTCCAAGTGCCAATGCTCTATATTCAGATTCAGCTGAACTTCGGGACACCACTGGTTGTTTTTTGCTTCTCCAAGTTACTAGATTTCCCCATAAATAAGAGCAATACCTCGTGGTAGATCTTCGGTCTGTCTTAGATCCTCCCCAATCATCAGTAAACATCTCAATACCTCTAGTATTTTTCTTTACAAAGTACAACCCTTGTCCTGGTGTCCTTTTTAAATACCTGAGAATTCTAAAACAGCAGTCATGTGTTCCTTTTGAGGATTGCTTGAAAATTGGCTAACTTCACTAATCGGGCAGCATATATTAGGTCTAGTATGAGACAAATAAATCAATTTTCCAACTAGTTTCTGATATCTTTCTCTGTTTACTACTGTACCGTCAGGTCTTATGGTCAGTTTCTGATTAAGTTCCATTAGAGTGTTTGCTGGTTTTGCCTCCAACATTCGTGTCTCCTTTAGAAGGTCTACAGTGTACTTTCTTTGTGACACACTAATCCCTTGGTGTGTGCGAGCTACTTCCATCCCTAGGAAATACCTTAGAGGTCCAAGATCCTTGATCTCAAATTCAGCGGCTAACTTCCCTTTTAGCCTAGCAATCTCACTTGAGTCATTTCCTGTTAGCACTATATCATCAACATAGACAATCAGATTAGTTATCTTATCACCATAGCGCTTAACAAATATAGTATGGTCAGCTTGGCTTTGGCTATAACCCCATTTCTTAATAGCTTTAGTGAAACGTTCAAACCAAGCCCTAGGAGGCTCTTTTAGGCTATATAAGGATTTTTAGAGCCTGCACACTTTGTGAGAGCTTTCTAATGTTCTCAACCCCAAAGGAACTTCCATGTACACTTCCTCTTCAAGGTCACCATTTAAAAAGGCATTTTTGACATCTAACTTGTGCCATGGCCAATCTAGATTTGCAGCAAGAGAAAGTAAGACCTTTACAGTGTTGAGTTTTGCTACTGGGGCAAATGTTTTCTGGTAATCAACACTATAGGTTTGAGTAAACCCGCGAGCCACTAACCAGGCTTTATACTTGTTCACACTACCATCAGGATTATATTTGATGGTGAAAACCCATTTATTGCTCACCATAGTCTTGCCTTTAGGTAAATCAACAATTTTCTAGGTTTTGTTTTTGTGCAAAGCCTGTAGTTCTTCTTCTATGGCTGCTTTTCATTTAGGATGAGAAATAGCCTCTTTAAAATTCTTTGGAATAAATTCTTTTTCCACATTCACCACAAACGTTTTCAACTTGGGAGATAGTTTCTGATAGGAGACATGCCTAGCAATTGGGTGCTAAGTGCAACTCCTCTTTCCCTTCCTCAAGGCAATAGGCCAATGTAAGTCTTCAAGACTTGCCTCAGGTGCAGATTCATGGCTTTGCATCGGTGTTTGAGTGGGCTCTTCACCACTAGGCTGCTGTTTAGATGACACCCTAGACTCTTCCTCCCTAGTCTCGAATGGGTTGGGTGTGGTAAGGGATTCAAAGGGATTTGTATGCTGAAAGTCAGATTTGGAAGAGGGATTGGGCAATGAATTTGGTGAGTTTCTAGGACTATTTTCTGCAGTGTTTTCAGTGGAATATTGAGGAGGGACATTTGGTGTGTGAGGAATGGGGGTAAGAGTGGAGCCGCAGCAGAATTGGGTGATGTGAGGGGTTCATAAGCTTGCTGTCCAGAACCAGAAAAATCAGAAAAATCATATTGATGATCATTCTTGGTGTCACAAATAAGCCATTCACTCAGACCTCTCTCCCCTGAATGGTTTATTTGTTGAAAAAAGGTAGTTCTTAAATAAATTTGACATTCATACTGACATAGACTTTGTTATTGTCAGGACAAAAACACTTGTAGCCTTTTTGATGTGAGGGATATCCTAAAAAAATGGTTTTAATAGCTTTATGTTCTAATTTTCCACAATTATCATTTAAAACATAAGCTGTGCACCCAAAGATTTTTTGAAGAATTGTAGTAATAAGAGGTGAATCTGGATAAATTTCCTCGAGTCTCTGAAGAGGAGTGAGGAATTTAAAAACTTTTGATGGAATTCGACTTATGAGGTATGCAGAAGTTAAAATAGCATCCCCCAAAAATCTGTTTGGCACATTATTTTTAAAATAATTGCTCTTGCAACCTCAAGAAGGTGCCTATTTTTTCTTTCTCAGACACGCCATTTTGCTGTGGTGTATGGACACAAGAAGTTTGGTGATGAATGCCATTGTTTTCCAAGTATGTTTGATATGATATATTTAAATATTCCTTTCCATTGTCACTCTGAAGAACCTTTATTGAACTTTGAAATTGATTTTGAGTAAGTTTATGAAATTTTTGAAAAATCCCAAAAACCTCAGATTTTTACTTCATGAGATAAACCCATGTTAACCAAGTATGATTATCAGTAAATGTTACAAACCATTTGGCCTTAGAATTTGTTTCAAACTTTGATGGACCTCAAACATCACTATGTATGAGAGCAAACGTTTGAGTGGGTTTATTAGGATGAGGAGAATAAGTATTTCGAACTTGTTTTGCAAATTGGCAAGTTTCACAATGAAAATCAGAGATTGTTTTATTATCAATGCTTGGAAACAAGAATTGCATGTAGCGTAGACTAGAGTGGCCTAACCTAAAATGCCATAACATAATATCTTTATTCTTGAAAGTAGGAAGAGCAGCTTGAGCTTGAGCCTTATTCGGTGGTGATCCATGATGGTAGTAGAGCCCATTCCACACCTTTGCATTACCAATCATCTTTCCCAAGGTCAAGTCCTGAAAATTACAGCAATGTTTGTCAAAAATAACAAGGCAATTGATATGAAAAGCAACCTTTCTCACAGATAGCAGATTGCACTTAATTTCAGGGACATGTAGAACATCTTTTAAATCAATCTCATTAGATATATTAATAGTTCCAGATCCCATTACTGTAGCATATTGTGGCAACTTCAAGTATTGTGCTCAAAATTTAGAAAATTGGGAGAATAATTCTTTAAAACCTGAGATATGGTCTGTTGCTCCAGAATTCACAACTCAAATATTTTTAGTTTTTACTGTACCACTAAGAGCCTTAGTGAGAGCTGTACCTGCTTAAGCTAAAGTGACTGAAGGGGTATTTTTCTCATTTGGTTTAGCCGAGACAGGTGCATGTTTTTCTGAGATTTTTCTCAGAACTTGAAGTTCTTCAGTGCTCAAACCATTTGGCCTTAGAATTTGTTTCAAACTTTGATGGACCTCAAACATCACTATGTATGAGAGCAAACGTTTGAGTGGGTTTATTAGGATGAGGAGAATAAGGTATTTCGAACTTGTTTTGCAAATTGGCAAGTTTTCACAATGAAAATCAGAGATTGTTTTATTATCAATGCTTGGAAACAAGAATTGCATGTAGCGTAGACTAGAGTGGCCTAACCTAAAATGCCATAACAAATATCTTTATTCTTGAAAGTAGGAAGAGCAGCTTGAGCTTGAGCCTTATTCGGTGGTGATCCATGATGGTAGTAGAGCCCATTCCACACCTTTGCATTACCAATCATCTTTCCCAAGGTCAAGTCCTGAAAATTACAGCAATGTTTGTCAAAAATAACAAGGCAATTGATATGAAAGCAACCTTTCTCACAGATAGCAGATTGCACTTAATTTCAGGGACATGTAGAACATCTTTTAAATCAATCTCATTAGATATATTAATAGTTCCAGATCCCATTACTGTAGCATATTGTGCTCAGAAAATTTAGAAAATTGGGAGAATAATTCTTTAAAACCTGAGATATGGTCTGTTGCTCCAGAATTCACAACTCAAATATTTTTAGTTTTTACTGTACCACTAAGAGCCTTAGTGAGAGCTGTACCTGCTTAAGCTAAAGTGACTGAAGGGGTATTTTTCTCATTTGGTTTAGCCGAGACAGGTGCATGTTTTTCTGAGATTTTTCTCAGAACTTGAAGTTCTTTAGTGCTCAATGACCCCCCCTCGATTCTGCTGAGCTAGCTAACAGCCCTTTCTTTTTCTGCTTTTGATTGGTAGGCTTGCCATGGAGCTTCCAACATACCTCCTTGGTGTGCCCACCTTTGTTACAATGGTCACACCATCTTTCTGGTTTTTTTCTTTTTGCATCTCCCTGATTCCCTTTGACAGCCATTGCTGACATCTCACTAAGAGACTTCGAACCAGTTTGAGCCAGTATCTTTCAACTTTCTTCACAACGGACTAGATTGAATGCCTCCTCTAAGGATGGGAAGGGCTTCATACTCATGATTCTTCCTCATACCTCTTCAAATCCATCATTCAAGCCAAGCAAAAAATCATAGCACCTTTCTTTATCAATGAGTTACTTATAGTATATTCTATCTTTAGTATAGGACCCCTCATAGACCTCATAAAAGTCAATTTGTTGCCAAACCTTGCTTAGTGTAGTGAAATATTGAGTGACAGTCTTGTCATCTTGAACTAACCGACGTAGGGTACGTTTTACCTGGATAATAGCCGCTGTATTTTCTCTAATAGCATAGGTCATTTTGGCTGAATCCCAGATTTCCTTCGCTGTGAGTGCAAGTAGATAGCTTTCATTGATATCAGCTGTCATTGAGTTCACCAACCAAGTCATTAATGTTGTTTTCGGCACTCCAGATTGCAACCTGAGTCTGATAAGCATCGGCATTTCTTTGTTTTTTCCTCAGACAAACATCAAAACACTGCAGGACCATTGGAGGTTTCCATTGAGTCGATGTGTGATCAACACTAGGGGAAGAGAATCAGATGTCGCATTCGACATCCCAAGGTGCAACGAGTTGTGTCCATTGTGATCCCCTCTGTGTAATCTTGAACCAGTCTTGGTTGAGGCCTCCTCGCTTGAAGATGAGCATGCACCCTCATCCTCAGTATGGAAGGCTCGCGGCTGATTCATTAGAGCTGCCTTAAATGTCATAGGTTGGACAACCAAGGCTCTAATGCCATGTAATTTCTATGTGGTAACAGCTCGTGTATTTCATTGAGAGTAGAGTGTTACATATATGGGGAAAAGAAACAATAAAATCAGATCTGATTCTACTCCTAGATTCTCAGAGAAGAAATACAGATTACAAGAGAAAATAAGTCCCATGATTTTAGGGATCCTAATCTCACACACAAAAGGAAAACTAGGTCACATGATAATAGGCCCATGGAATTGATGGAAAGCCCAAATTTCCTCCAATAGTATATAACTCTGGGGTTACCTTACTTGCCAGTTAAATACATGTCTGATTGTAGTAATCTCAGTGCTTGTTTGACTTTGTTTTTTTGACAATATGTTCTCTTCATATTTATTAATATATTTTCTTTCCCTTGTATTATTTGGTCAAAAGGCATCTGGCTAGTTATTAACCCCCCCCCCACGGGTTGCTGGAATCTGACTAGTTATTATTTATTTGTTGAATACTAATTTCTTTCATGGTCTCTTAGTTTCATATGTCAAAAGGCTGAATATTCCAAGTGGTGTGGTGGGTGCTTGTCGATTGGATCTAGCATATGAACACTTCAAGGTATTGCTGACTTTCTATATTGCTTTTGATTGCTAGGAATAGATGATCTAAACTCTGGGTGGGATATTACGTTCAGCTTATTTAATTTAAATCATCTCTGAATTTCTTCCCCTACTTATTATTGTCCTTTACAACTTTTAAACTTTAGGTTTGGATAGATGCTTGTTTGTAACTGCTATCAATTCCTATGGTAAATCGGTGTCTCTAATGTTTCCCACCTGTATACTTTGAATTACTTATAAGGTTGAATATATGGGATGGGGGCCTTACAAAGTCTGTTTGTCATATGGTTAGCATCCATTGGCATCCAAAGTAGTGTTTGTCCATTAATATCGAATGTAGTAAAGTGGTGACAATGGACTTTTGGTAAACAAGGGCTACTAAAAATGTTGGTTTTAATTAGCATTGTATGGCATGGTGCTGGAAACTGGTAGTTTGTTATTGGCAGAAGTTGTAGCTTTATCTTTTGACGAATCATTATGTTGAAGTGCATACAAAACCATTTAAGAATTGCTTTTATGGAAAGAAATTTAAATCTAGACGGATCCCATCAACATAAGTTTATCACCAGAATTTTTTTAGTAAGCACATCCAAGGTTATATATTTTCTGTTGTTGATTTGGTTAAGACTTAAGACATAGCAGTGCTTGCAACTGTCAAATCTTAGTCCAGATGACTCTGGAATTTGTCATTTTAATCGTTCTTCATATTATTTCTTTTTGTTTAGGTTTGTTGACATTTTTGACATTTCTCATAATGCAGGAGAAACCTCATTTGTTCCAATTTGTTGCAAATGAGAAGCAGGTATAGGCTCCCCCCCCCCCCTACATAGTTATGTATCTTCAATGGTTTTATTTGCATTTATTATTTATTTATGTTATCATTATTTTTCTATAGGTTAAAGCAGCCAATAAACTTCTAAAGACAATGCCACAAAATGGCATGGGCAAAAAGGTGGATGGGGTGCCGGTTTTTAGTGCACAGAACTTAGATATTGCGATAGCAACTACAGATGGAATTAAATGGTGTGTTTTTTCCCCTCATCTTCCTCACTATATTTGGCATCAGTGTAAATTTCACAAAACCTCGTCATATTGTCTTGATATCCTTTAAACGAAATTAAGTCTTGATTGCTTGGATTTATTTCATTCTCCCATAGTTTAGTTACTGGGAATATTTTTTTTCCTCCTTGTTTTCTTTACAATTGTATGTGCTTTAGATTAGCTTTGAAATTTAGATTTTTACTACTATAAGCTTCCTATCATAATTTTTAGTGTTCATTATACCTTCTTATCTTTTATGATATGTTTTCCATCTTTAGTAGTAGCCTTCACGTTATTCATTGTGTCATCATGTCTATCATCTCATCAGTCTATATAACTGAATATATTATGCTTGCAATCTTACTCTTTTTTTCATCAGGTACACTCCCTACTTCTTTGATAAAACAATTCTTGATAACATTCTTGAAGAATCTGTTGATCAACATTTCCATGCTTTAATACAAACTCGGCACATGCAGCGCCGGAGGGATGTGATTGATGACAACATAGCAGCAGAGGTGATTGAAGAGATGGGAGATAGTTTATGGGAGCCTCCAGAAGTATGACTTTACATTTGTCTTTCTTTCCTCCTTTCCTGCAATTATTTTTTTCTGTGATTGTTAAAAAATTTAATTTATTTTTTGTGTTTTTCTTATTCTCTTTTCTATTATTATTATAGAAAATATTTTCACTTATATCTAGATACTTATAATATTGGGAAAATCCTAGAAAAAGCCCTTGGAATATACCAAATCCCAGATTGGGCCCTTAAATTTCAAAAATGACAGAATGGGTCATTGACCCAATCTGTCATTTGTGAAATTCAGGCGAATTGACATTTTTACCCTTGAGCAAAAGTGAGTAGTTATTCTCTAAACAAATCTAGGTAACGCTTATACTGTTCTAGTGATTACAAGATTCGTTGTAGTTAATAACAAGGTACCTGACAATAATAAGATACCTGACTATGAAAAAATGAGTAGTTATTCTTTACACAGATCTAGGTAATACTTACATTGTTCTAGTGATTACAACATTAGTTGTAGTTAATAACAAGACACCTGACTATGAAAAAGTAAATAGTTATTCGCTATACGAATCTAGGTAACACCTAAACTCTTATAGTGATTCCTTGAATCATTGTAGTGAATGAATAAATGAGGGTAAAATTGTCAATTCGCCTGAATTTCACAAATGACAGATTGGGTCAATGACCCATTCTGTCATTTTCGAAATTTAAGGACCCAATCTGGCATTTCCCATATTCCAAGGACCTTTTTTGGGATTTTCCCTATAATATTTACACTTATTTATCTTCTAATATTGTGTACATCTACCTGATTTTCCTTACAGGTTCAGGAAGTGTTAGATGAAATGGGCCCTCCTAGTATACCACTAAGTGTTATTTCGAAGGCTGCAGAAATACAATTCCATTATACTGTTGACAAAGTACTACTTGGTAATAGGTGGTTGCGGAAAGCAACTGGCATACAACCAAAATTTCCATATATGGTTGACTCATTTGAGAAAAGGTACATTCCATGCTATTCTTAGCCGTTTTGAACTGATATTTACATGTTTGAACCTGTCGCAATGTCAGTCTTTCTGTTAGACCAGTGGTTTCTTTGTCCCATTTCCATGCCTATAACATGAAAAACTTGACAGCTGTGTGTGCTTTCCCCCAGAGTAAAGAATGATTTTACTAATCCAAATGAGACCACTTGAAGTGAATTTAGCGTTACAATTGTAAACAAGGCATTTTCCCTGCTGGTTCTTGATAATATACTATATCTTTTGAGTTAAGCAGCATCATACTGTGAATATAACCACTAAACCTCTATCTTCTGTGACTGCTTGTGCAAGGCCTTTCCTAGAAGGTAAAGACTTGGATGCTTATCATTATACGCTTTATGTCCAGTTTCCAAATGAAAGGTTGCTGCATGGATTTTTTTTTGAACAAAACATCATTCACCTCTTTTTTCATTAATGTTCCGTTGACAAAAAAGAAGTCTGAAAGCTTTTATGCAATCCTCATGTGTGTCATGTTTCTTTGTGTTGATCTCTTTTAGCTGTCCTTGAAACATTTGTTTGCAGTAACTCCTCTATGTTGCCACTGACCCATTTCAGTTTCCCTGCTCTAACCCTGAAACTTGTGAGCTCTATCTTGTGGCTGTTAAAAGAAATCATAAGCGTCTCAGGTGCATGGCTTCACAGTTTATCATAGTCAGTTTTATTTCTCTTTAATTGTTACTCATCCGTTATACTAGTGCCTTTATCTATCTCCTCCATATTATTCTTTTAGAATGATGTCTGGTTGGTAGCTTTCTTTCTGATTGGGTGAAGGCATGAGCATTTTGAGCATTTTGAGCTACCATTAACAGTGGAGGCGAACAACATATTGGGTTATGGAGTTTTTGTGCTTTATTGGAATGCAGATTGATCTGCGCTTTTCTGCATATGTGCTGTCTGTACAAGCAATAGAATCGGTAATGATAAGTCTAGTTTTGGGATTTGTGGAGGCTGACAACAAAGAAGCAGTGCTCGAATAAGTTTCTAGAAACCGAGGTCTCGTAAAGAAATTTTTGTTAGGGAAAAATCAATGAAACCTAAACAGTTGAAGATGAGTTGTTTAGAAAGTCCATATGGCAACTTTTATTTGAAAACTGGTCAAGTATATAATAAGTACCTTGTCTTTCTCCTCAGAGAAATGATAGAAAGCCAGTTGAGAGAAGATGGGGCAGGGTTCGTTAGGGGAACAAGTTAAAGGGACCCCTCCAGTGGTCTTAAACTACTGTGGGCACAGAAGAGAGGGTAAAACCAGCAAAGGCAGCTAACTTTTCTCTAGTTTCTGAAATGAGGAAATGTGTAGGATAGGAGCGAAGATCTCGGAAAAAGTAGAAGAGTAGAAGGCTTATGCAAGGTTTGACGTTGCTAGGGAGGGGTTGTGGCCTCTTTGTTTGCATTTCGTTTTTTTTTTTTTCCCCCTTTCCCCTTATTAGTACGTTATTTCAGCGGTAACAAAGGGGACTGATTTTGTTATATGCTTTCCTCTTCTAATCTCCATTGAAGAGGTGTAATCTCCCATGTCTATTAATACATTCCAAAATTCCGTCTGTGCGATTGGCCATTGATTGAATTGTAACGAATTTCCAAATGCATTATTGTTAAAGGGTACATTTGAACTTTCCAGAGGTTACTTAGAATACTACTTAAGTAAAGGATGTATCATCTCACATAACATGAAGCTCAGTCCGAGTTTTACATTTTAGTCAGATATTTGCCTGCATGCTTTCTGGATGAGCACTGACACTATGACCCAGTTGCTGGAGATTGTTATAGGTAGAACAAGGTTGCACGGGGAAGTTTACTCTTATCTTTGTGGTTGTCATGTTTACATCAACAAACTGATGTATTAATTATGGGTGTGTTTGCATGAGTAGTGCCAAAAATGACTTTTATTCTATCTGATTTTTACAAATGTGAGTTAGAGTAAAAGTCAGTTAGTATAATGTGATTTATGTTTGTATTAGCTTTTATAAAAAATCAGTTTGAAAGTTTGAAATTTGTTTGGATGGATGATGAAAAAGTAAGTTTAAGATATAAAATGACTGAAAAGGGCATGAATTTTTATATAAGACTCGGTTAACTAGGTTGGAAAAATTAAAGATACACAATTATTTAAGGAGATCATGTAATATATAATATAATTAAATAATTTGTTTAGCTTTTTTAATCTGTTCAAGTTAGTCTTTTGGGGTTTTATGTTATGGAGCAAAGGTAATATACATATGCAATTTGGTAAATTTTAGAAAAGTAATAAATTAAATTAATTAAATTTTATTAGTTAATTTTTTTTCTTCTAAGGAAAAAACATCAAATTATTGAGTCAAAATATAATTATACCTACATAAATATAAAATTTATTTTTAATGAATAAAAAAATATATGTAAATATATGATGTATAAAATAATATTAAAAATTTAAAAATATTATATAAACATATTCAAAAGTTATTTTAACTTTTTACAATGTATGATTACTGCCTTCGTAGCTTCTCCTAGAGCAACTCAAACGTACACCCGAAAGTTGCAGTAGGGAAAAAAAATTCAGTTTCGAGTAAAAGCTCATTCATGTTGAACACCAATCCAAACACGTTTCTCTTCAAATATTCCTGTACCGTGCGTTGCACAATTTACTAAATGCTTTTTTCATCCCAAACGAAGATCCAAACATGCTCTATATCTTGGGAAGCAGATTCCAGTTTGTAGAATTATCTACAGATATTAAACTTCTGATGCTTTGAAGTTACTATCAGCCGTAGATTTTTCCTAATTCTTCTTACACACTGGCAGACAATATTGAACTGCTTTTCTATGTTTTGATTTATTTAGCGAAATTCAGAAGTCTCTAAGGTTTCTCATAACTGTCATTGGGATTGCCAAACTGAATTGCAAATGGATTAGGGGCTTATCTATAGCCTACTGTCCCTTATTGTTCTAACGGTCGCTTACGAACTGTTAGTTATCAGTTTATTTATATATTTATATATTTTCATAAATTCAAAAATGACTATCCCGCTCTTACTGAAAAAGAAATGAAATAAAATGACTATCTGTTGGGTTCTTTTGTCATTGGATACCCACTTTGCAATTTGCACATTACTCTTAGATGCACCCCATCCTACAAGAGATCTTTGTCTGTTGTTAAATAAATAAATAAATAGAAAAGTATCTAGATCTTGTGCATTATCAATGCAGTGTCTGTAACTTTAATGTTTTTAATCCTGCAGAAGTGAAGCTTCTCTTCTTAGAGCCTCAGAGTCAAACAGGCGCCTTCCTAAGTCTGAAGTGGAAGATAGCCGTAAAGATGGTGAATTCGTTGGCCCTTCTGACTACAACTTGAGAAATAATACTCGGGCAATTAAGGAGACTCAGCCAAAACCTAGGCTACCTTTTCTTGACTGGTTTCAACACTTATGGCCAAGGCATAGGCAGCAAAAAGAAGGCTTATCAAAGAAAGGCGTGGAAGAGGATCCTAAACAAAATCCTTTTCTTCCCAAGATTACAATGGTTGGTATCTCTACAGAGGAATCTGGCCACATGAACAGAGCAACTTTGAAGAAGACAATGGAGGATCTAACACGAGAGTTGGAGAAGACTGAACATGCTGATGCGTCTGGTGTTAATTGTAGTGAGGGCAAATTAGAAGAGAAGGATCCTCTGTTTGTAGCAAATGTTGGTGATTACTATTCTGGTATGGCGAGGACAGGATCTACTCGATGGATTCGTGGGGAAACAACCAAACCCCATCAAGAAAGTAAGTTCTGACGATATCCTTAAGAAGTGGAAGATCGTACTACCAACCAACGCATGATAATATATTCTGCTAAAGAGCTGGGGATTTCCCTTTTTGTATTGTCTACCATAAGCCAATAAGATATCTGAGTTTCACATTGAGCCATGTTGTACGTAAGATGCATGTCATTGCTACTGCAGTGTTGTTTAGTCAGCGTTAATATTAACTTGATCTTTGATCAATGCTGTAAATGACTCTGGGGAAGTCTTAATGTTGACCATTTTGCTAACTTTAAGAAGTAAAGAATTATTACACTTTGTTTTTGTGAGTTTGGTGGAGAATGAAATGAGGTCCGGACATAAAAGATTGTTTAAATTATGGATAAAATTTTTAGTGTAATGATTTTTTTCATTGAAATATGAAACTCACTATCTCTGAAGAATGTTGAGTTGAAAGTGAAGAAAAAGAAAAGGTATTTATGTCAATAAATTCAAAAGCAAGCTGATCTGCAGCCTTGTACTTCAACTTCCTCTCATCGTTACTAGTTATGACTATAAGAGAAGTAACGTCAGTTCATAGCCCTCTCTAATTACCTTGTAAGAGGTTTATCAATCACTTTTCGTTGGTACTTTCATAAGAATACTTTTCAAAAATTTCTTAAAATTATTTATTAGAAGAAAAAATTTCTTTGTGTGGCACTAATGAATTTCTCTCCAGCAGCAAACATTACTCTCTTTATAGGATATATGAGTGCATTATTAAAGTATTATTGTATTTAAAAAAACTTAGTTAAAATGGGTTAAAGACAATAAATATGTAAAAATTATCATTTTCCCTTAAAAAAAAAAGTCCTCATTTATGAGTGAAAGAGAGTATAAAGGAGAAAATGAGAAAGTTATTCGAATAAAGAGAATGATACTTCAAAAAATAAAATAATAAATATATTGAGTATTAAAATAAATGGGAGCAAAATAGGAAATTAACCAAGAATATTTGAGATATCTTGCAAATATTTCTTATAAATAAGAACAAGTAGAGATGGTAGTTGTTTCTTATTAAAAAAAGAGACAGAGGAAGTATTGTTGAGGGAGTAACAATAGGGGTAGTTTAAAAAAAATGATAAATATGAGATATAGGTTTTATTTTTAACATCAAAACCAACCCCAATTAGACCTTATATTAAAGACCGGAAAGGTAATATTAGTATATATACACACAGTTGTACTACGAATTGTATATAATATGAATGATTTCTTAAATTCCACATAACATATAGAAAAATGTGTCTACTCTATTTATGCATGTAATAATAATGCTGCTTTTGTTATTTTTGTAAGATTTCATGTTATGAAAACATATCTAATTTTATATGGGGTTAAGCCCTCTTTAGGTCCTTAGGCCCCTATATTTTTTTCATTATTTTTTTGTCATTATATTTTATTTCGTCCAAAATGTTGGTCCGTATAGTTTTATAATGATTTGGATCTAAATTTAGCAGTGTTAACTTCGCTAATATGAGATTAATAGTATTAAATAGACAAATGCAGACTACTAACTAGAGTTGGATAAGCCTTGCATGTAGGGGTCAAACGAAAACTTGTTCAGTATAGGAGCATGGAAAGTGTTTAACTCTATGAAAAGGCAACTTAAATGCATGACAAAGGACCAAAAAAAAAAATAATTTTCAATAATAAAATCTGATCTCTAACATTTGAATTCATGTGGCAAAAATACAAAAAATGATTTTACCCTCCATGAATTTGCTTAAGCAACCGAGTGTGATCATCAAAGTCTTGGCTATCACCACAAATGTAGACAGCAAGGAGATGCTTCGCTAGCGAACTAAGGTTGAAAAAGTAGGCCATAGCATTTTAAAGGAACATAACGAAATTGGTGCTAGATAGAATATGTAGATAGTTAGGCCAAGGTAAACTCAGCCATATTTTGGTATAGCTAAGGTTGTGACGGTCATGTATGTATGCACGTAGAAGGAAATTCCGAATGCAAAGAGGGGAGCTTGGAGCCTCATGGAGTAGTTGCCTCACTCTTCAAGGATAAAAACTGAACAACAGAATTGTTTACTCTAGATGTGTATGTGTTTTTTCTTATGATCGCTAATATTTACAATATAGAATAATATTAATAAATATCATTTTGTTTAATCCCTACACTGTAAACCTTTTAAAGCTGAACTCTTCACTTGGTGTATTTTCAAAGTAACGTTCATAAATGTCAAGTTTAAATTCATATATAGAGAAGTTAGATGAATTGATCTTGATTTTTGGCCAAAAATATTGATCTGGATTAACTCATCATTTTAAATTGATGAAATCATATTTGAAAGTGAAAAAAAAAAATAAAGCAACAATTCAAATGTCGCAAATTAGATTCAATTAAAATCAATTTTATCAATCGTATTATCATTTGTCACATGTTTAAGTTGTTTAAGTTGCCCTGAGGGTCAAACTTTCTTTAAGGGTGTGTTTGGGTGACACCCCAAACCATGGTTTGAGGAATAAATCACCCAAACACCCCTCCAAAAACCAAAACCATGGTTTTGATGGTTTTGGAAAAAGCAAAAATTTTTTGCTTTTGGAGAAAAAAGGGAGAGTGTGAGAGCTTATATGATATGTATCTTGTTATTTTTTTTATAAACATATTTTTTTATAAACATATTTAATTTTATATTTTATAAATATATATACATATTAATTATTTATTAATTATATTATCTTATGTATTATTAATTATGTTGGTAAAAAATATATTATTAACACTTTTATTCCTTCAAATTAAAATATATCATAAAATCTATTTTTCTATAATTATCATATTAACTTATGTCTTTTTTTTAGTAATTTGTATATATAAAAAGTGCTTCTGATAACAACTATCCAAACACTCTCACTTCTCAGAATCACTTTTTTACAAAATCTATTCTTCACAGAATCTATTCTTCCCAGAATCTATTCTCCAGAATCACTTTTCCAAACCACGGTTTGGTTTCATCCAAACACACCCTAAGTCTCTATAGTTTTAATGAGTTTCAAACATATAGGCCACATCAGTCCTAGTTAGTAGTTCATGTCAGCCTATTTATTGATATTAACGCCACTAGCCCTATGGAGACCAACATTTCGGGTAGCATAAAGTACAGGAATGGAAAACAATAAAGAAAAAATTGAAAATAAATGCCCTATTAAAAATTTAATTGGTAGATAAGATCTAAGAATTTTGTGCAACTTAACTTTTATTGTATGCAACTTAATTTTCTTTATGTGCAATTTATCTTCCCTTGTGTATAATAATCTTTTTTTTTTGTGATGTGCAACTCAATTTTCTTTTGTATAAATGAAATTCTTTTATGTGCAAGTCATCTTTCTTATGTGCAAACTAATTTTTTGTATCCAAATAATGTTTTGTGCAAATTATCTTTCTTTGTGTGTAAATAATCTTTCCTTGTGCAATTAATCATTTTAGGGACCATTTGCCAATTAAATTTGTAATGAGAGATTTATCCCTAATTTTCTCAACAATAAATATAGGGATCAAAATCTAAAATTCATCATGAGAAATACTTGTATACTCTAAGAGCACCATGACATCTAAACTTTGACCAATTAAAACATAACCCAAATCATTTTAATCCTACTTGGATGATGATTCATTTGAAACAATTCACATCTAATTTATTTTTAAGGGAATAAACCCTTTTAGTTTTTTCAAAATAAAAATAAAAATTCATCTAAACCCATTCGCGTGCAACGATCGTCAATGGGGAAATTAAAAACTTCGCCCAAATCTAACCTTGGTCTATCAAGAACAATGCCTTCTCCATTTTTGTCATGAATCTGGCACCCCTTGACCTAGGTGACATCAACCGCAAGGCTTGATATTTTGTTGTGTAGTTTCAACAGCGGAGAGAAATCCTCGCAACCTCTAGTTAGATATTATGAATAAAAGGAAGAGCCTTTGTTTCTGTATATCAATGAGTGAGACAAAAAAGACAAGTTTGTGTAAACCCAAAAAAAAGTTTGTCTTAGATTATTATTTCATTGAAATACTATGTCTTGAGATTGCTTATTTCTATGTTTTAACCTTTTAGCCCAGAAGGTTGCTTTTAATCTGTTTGAATTAATTGTTTTGTATTTAGTGTTGTGATGAGTGACTGATTCAATTGCTTCAAAGGATGTTAAAATGAGTAGAAGTGTCCTATGTGCATTGGAACTTTCTCTTTCTTGTTATGATCAGTCTCATTCAGTCTGCATAATGTGCTAGGAGTATAATTTAATTTGATAGTGATTTTGATTCATTATCTTGGCTTTTTGATTTTTTAGTTTATGAACTTTTATTAAAAAAATAGTTTTGTGTATGATTTAAATTTGTTTTCATATTTTATAATAGAATGGAAATAGCAAATGAATCAAAGTTAGATATTAGGTCATGTTGTAAACAATGAAGATGAGGGTTATGTTTTATATGTAACAAGGTCACTTATCTCATTAAAATTTACCATAATATATAGAAATAAAACCAATAAATATATCATATCATGGTTATTTAAAAGCAATCATGTTTTTAAGAGGCTAACCATGATAGAAAGACATTCAACCTCAATTAATACTATCATAGTTAGAAAAAGAAATACTTTATTATCTGTAATAATAACATATACTATCATATAGTATATTTACATGCAAATTATGTTGGAAAGGATTAGTTGCAGTTAACATAGTTATAAAACAATATGTCCCTTATTGATAAATTATAATCACAATTCAGGTTTGACCATCTCAATCAATATTAATAATGACTAAACTTGCAGAAATTGCCATTATCGCATGGTGGATCTACATATAACTCAATCACATGCAACCTAAGAGCCTTAGGCCCACTACCAGCACTCCAAGCCAGTGTTCAGATAAAATAAGCAAAAAATAAAAGATGTAATATGTTCATCAAGACAAACAACATAAAAATATGAGAAAGTGAAATAAGTCCCAAATGAATGTAGTCCTAATATGTGACAATATACGAAAAAGATTATATAAAGTAAGGCTCAGAAACTCTACATTGTCAGCTGTTGCTATTAAGCCTCAGGAGTCTTCCTTAAAGTTCTTTTAATGCATTATTTCTTGAAAATGGTAAAATAATAGGAGTGAGATAATGTTTTAGTAACTAAATCCCTATCCATCATACACACTAGCATGGACCAATAAGGCATTTGGTGAAATATACTTTTTGAAACAAATATATTTTTACTTAGCAGCTAGAATATATTTACTATATTTATTAGCCAACCTCAAAACATCTTGATCAATCTCAAA